TGCAGTGGCACGACCTTGGCTCACTGCAGCCTCTGCCTCCTGAGTTCCAGCAGTTCTCAGGTCTCAGCCTCCCAAGTAGCCGATATTACAAGTGCGTGCCACCACGGCCAGCTAAATGTATTTTTAGTAGGGAGGTTTTGCCATGTGGCCAGGCTGGTCACAAACTCCTAGCCTCAAGTGATCTGCCTGCCCTGGCCTCCCAAAGTGCTGGGATTTCAGGCGAGAGCCACTGCACCCGGCCTCTTCCACTTTTTATAAGCTACAAAAGCACTCAATTCGTTGTTGCTATTATTCAGGAAAGGCCATTGATTTCCAGTTTTTTCAGCTTTTCCGTATTGGAAGGATGGAAGTTACAGCTTCCAGCGAAGGAGCTGAAGCTGGAACTTCCCTCTTTGTTTTTTTAAAACTCTGTTAATGTTTTGAACTAGATGTCTATATGTGTGTGTGTTTTTGTAAATTCACTTAAATGATATACTCTGTTTTTCAAAACTGCTTTAAAATACCTCCATCATCTCTTTTAACTGCTCTATTGCAGTGGTCCCTAACCTTTTTGGCATCAGGGACTGGTTTCGTGGAGGACAGTTTTTCCACAGACTGTATGTGGCAGGGGTGGTAGGGATGGTTTTGGGATGATTCAAGTGCATTGTGTTTATTGGGTACTTTGTTTCTCTTTCTGTTACATTGTTACATATAATGAACTACAACTCACCATGATATAAAATCAGTGGGAGGCCTGAGCTTGTTTTGCTGCAACTAGTTGGTCCCATCTGGGGGTGATGGGAGTCAGTGACAGAGAATCAGGTGTTAGATTCTCATCAGGAGCTCGCAGCCTAGATCCCTGGCATGCCCAGTTCACAGTAGGGTTTGTGCTCCTATGAGAGTCTCATGCCTCGCTGATCTGACAGCAGGCGCAGCTGAGGCAGTAATTCGAGTGAGGGGAATCAGCTGTAAATACCGAATTTGCTAGTTTGCTTGCTCACCGACTGCTCACCTCCTGCTCCGTGGCCAGATTCCTAACAGGCTGCAGAGGTTTGTGGCCCAGAGGTTTGGGGGTGGGACCCTGCTGTATTGTGTTCTGCCATTACATCTGAAATCTGAGATCTCATAGTTAACAGTAGTTGTCAACACAGCATCTGGAAGGTATTTCGGAAATAGTTGTCTGTTCTACCACACTCCTGTGGGGCTGGGCTCCCTGTTTTTTACAGGGAGGAGACCACGCCTCAAAGCTCGGGCTTGCTAAGGTCACGTGACAGGGTGCGGGGCATCTGACCTCTCAGGCTGTGGGAGCGGGAGCTGCTGCTCTCTGCACCCTCTGTGTGGTCCTGTGCCGTTTTGCCTTCCCTCCTGCCATCTGTTCAGGCTTGAATCCTGGTAGAACCTTCGACTCCTCCGTCAACCACAGTCCTAGCGTGAACCCTCCATTTTCCCTGCTGACCACCTTACCCTCCCCTCAGTCACACCCTGCAGGGCCGTGTGCTGCTTTCAGTGATTTCTCACCCTTGTCCCCAACACTTCTGCTCCTCTTGGGGTATAATCCCCTGGTTCTTGGTCTCTGTTCCTCCGCCTCTTTATTTCTTCATCCCACTCCCACCAGGTTTAGTTTTTTCAAAAGCCACAATGACCCCGTTTTCGCTTTACTTGAATATTTCAGTGGCTTATCTTTGTTTAGTCATAGACGCGAATTTCCTTTCACAGAATTAATTCAGAATCCCAGTCTGCTCTGGTTCTGCCTCTTCGACCAGGAGGATACCAGGCAATCTCCCAGGCCCTTCTTCTACCACCACCTGCCCAGAAATTACCCAGAAATCCTAGCAGTCTCTAAAATGTGGCCGTAATCACCCTTTTTTCTCCCTAACACCTTCCCATGACTCTTGTAAGCTGTTATTTATATGACTGTCTATGGTGTCCTTTGTTAGTATCAGCTACTGCTGGGCGTTACAGGACACCTAACAGAGTTACCGGGACAAGGGTCTGACTTGACCTTCCCGTGGCAACAGTGCCATTTTCTAAACGCAGTGTGAAATGTGTGTTGATTAGATTCCGCGCCTTTCATGTAGTTATTCAGTTACGTGGTTATCAGAGCAGAGAGAAGGATCCTGTAATTCCCCCATAGTTTATCAATTATAGCATTCAGTTGTTTTAACTTAGCTCACTATGAATTGTTCTGTCCTGTTCTCTCCTGATATTTTGCCTTTCTTCCTCCCACAAAGATGTTTCGTAAGTTTACAGTATCAGTTGTGTTTATTTTCATTTGAGAACTGTTTCTCAGTTGAGGGACTCAAGCGATGATTATGACCAATTTTCTAACATAATTATTGTAAACATGCCATTTACCAGTGACATTCATTGTATCCAGAACCTGACCAAATTACTGCTTTAGAACATCTCTGCACCATCTCAGTTACGTGTTGCCAGTGTCTAATTGTGTGTATGTGTGTAGCTGTGCTTGTGCTGAGAGGCAGCAGTTGTGTTCTTCAGTCTTCTTCGTATCTACATCCCTGACTGGCTGGCGCCTGCCCAGGTTGGTTTCAGGCCCATTAGGGGCTCCGGGGACACGTCAGGCCTCCAGTTGTACAGGGTTCCTCTCTGGCCAACTCTGTTTCTCCAGAGCCCAGACCTTCACACCCACCCTCTTTTCTTAATTGCAAAAAATTTTATATGACTTCTGCAGTCTTTTTAACATGAAATTTCAATGCTACAGAAACTGTAGCATGTGAGTTTGGTGTCAGACAGAACTTTGCAATTCAGGAGAAATTGCAAAATAGGGGTTGAAAATGTTATAGGACAAAGCATTGACATTCTTTTAATTGGGAAACAGCTTGAGTCATAAAACACAACCTACAGTTTTATTCTTTCTTCTGTCTTCCTGCTTTACTCTGTTTTAAAATATGTGGCAGAGCACCTCATATCGTAACCAGGCTTAGTATCTTTTATCTTCTCATTTAGACAATGACTTATGATATTAAAATGATACATCATCTTCAATCAGTTTTGAATTCTTCATCACTAAACTAAGTGCTTTGTGAAGAGAGTATTTTCTTCCACTGCCTTTTGCTTCCTGAGTCAGAACGATTCCTGTGTCTTTCTTGCTTGAATCTAGGATTTTACTGGAGATACACTGTAACTCTTCCCAGTAGTCATCACTTAAGCTCATAGTAATAAATAAGTTGTAGAATTATTGTAACTGATTCTTTCTTAATCTTCACAAGTAGTTGGAAGTGTACCTGTTGAAAGATGTTCCCGGGCTACAATGTAATGTTGCCAAATTAGGCATAGATGGCGCTGTTGCTCTCTAATCTACACTTGCTCCAGGCCACTGATTTCTTTCACATTTTCTAGCATTTTCTTAGGTTTTTCAAACTGTAAAGAAAACCATGTCACCTCCCTGTATTGATATTTGTTAACATTTAGAATATAAACTTCATTTTTATTTGGAATTTCTTATTGTGAGATCACTTCAAAAATTGCCCTTTTATAATAGGGTAATTCTGTTTGTGTTAACAGTAAGGAGGTACACACCTGTACTTGATTGACACATGCCCGGAAGTGTTTCAGTAGAATGTATAAGGAAAGCTAGCAAGCAGCACTTTCCTCTGGAGAGGGAGATTGTAGTCTTACAGTTCATGCAGTCTTACAAAATACAGCAACTTTATGCCCTTCACAGACGTTCTGTCCTGCTTGCTTAAATTTTAAAAAATATTTGAATATCTTTTGGCAAGTAAAACCAACTTAATATTAAAACTAAGACGGTGATCTTATCTGCAAGTGTGTACATGACAGCCATTTGCCGACTCATGTGGAAATGCACATAGATGCACTTAGGAAAACTGACCATCACTGTTACCCCGGCAGCAGTTTCTTGGAGGGGCATTTGTATTATTGGATAACTGTATACGAGCCCCGCGGTTTTTGCTAGGACACTCCTGACCCTTTACCTACCGTCCACTCATCTTCAGCTTGCCGCAGGTTCGCAGCTCTGTAGCCGTCTGTGGACGCATGATTCGTGGATCCTGTGGGCCTTGGGTTCTGGTCAGGTGGTTCTGTTTGTGGGAGAGCCGACATAGGTTCTATGAGGAACAGGCCTTGGGTTTGCTTAGGGGCCCTGGACTGTCTCACAAAGTCTGGCCCAGAGCCAGGTACATTCACATAATTTCCATTTGAGCCATTACAAATGAGAAACATCTCCTGCTTTTATAACTCAGTAATGGAAATGTGCCCGTTTAAAATAATTGTTTTCTTTGTTTTGAGCCCTTAAGAAAAGAGACTTTATTTTAATATTTTTTTTCCAAAAGCTCAAGAAAGGCTTTTCATCTTTAAGTACAGTGGTTATATTCAGACTAAATTTATTTTAAAATAAGCAAATTGTAACAAAGTATAAATATTTTAACATTCAACAGAATGAAATGGTAAAGCAAAGAGACTATCCTGTGATTTGTATATTTATTGATGCCAAGAAAAGTGGAGAATTACACCTTTCACAAACTGTGGTACAGCAGACCATCCTATGTGGGCCTTAGCATGCAAAACAGAGCAGTAAGACCCTAGCTGCAACTCTAGAGGGATTTCAGCCACTCACCATTCCTTCCCCTCAGATTCATTCATCTGGAACATTTTTCATGGGGTGTGCTCTGTGTGTGGCACTGTCTTTTAACCATTCATTTATAGCTTTTTAGTCCTGTTATTCCTATGTTTAAAGCACACTTTGACTCCTTTTCTTATGTTTCCAAAACAGTATCCATTCCCAGAAGGTCGTCATTTGTAGGTGTTGAGGGTTTTAAAAGATGCTACCTCAGGTTCTAAGAGTAATTTTAAAAAGCAGCTCCAGATCAACCACGTGGTCTTTAGGATGAAAGCTTTGCTCTGAGATTACTGCTTGGCAATGAACAGCATTTATTGGAATGTATAGATTTTTTTATACGGATGTTTTAAAAAATCAGACTTAAGCTTCTTTTGATGTATTTTGATGGTTTGGTGTGACCCACATTTGTCTTATTTTTTAGGTGTCAGGATAAGCAGCAGGTGGTGCATTACACAGCCATTCCCATCCTTATCCCAGAAGTCACCGTTGGAGCTCATCAGAGTGACCGTATCGTACAGGAGTTCTACAACGTGAGACTATGGGAGTAGAGAAGGCTGGTGGTGGGTTGGTCTGCAGCTCTGGGGACAGTGCACTCCCTAATCCATAAAGGGGTTTTTGTTGTTGCTGTGTTTTGTTTGTTTTAGTGAAAGAGCCTCTTTTTCATTGAAATAATTCTCCCTTTTCCCTGTATTTCTATATGGAAAGCCGATGAAGTCCTCAGATGACAGGCCCAGAGCAGAGACGTTCTTCTGGGCTGTTCTTCATCAGGCATATTATCTTGATAGGAGAACAGTCTCTGTTCATCAGCTGTTATGTCAGTTTCTGTAAATAATGAGGGTTCCATTTCTGTAGAAGGCCCTTGGGCCATGTGGGAGGGGGTAGAGAGGACGGACATCGAGGGTGGAAGTTAGTAGGGGCAGCTGTTTCATTGATCTTCTTATCCAATTCCCATACCTGCTTAGCGAGTTGTTTGTTCTGGCAAGATTCCGCTAGGTTAGAGACGTGTGTGACTTTTGCCGGGAGCCAGCAGGTGAGTTGCAGGCTGTGTTGCGAATCCCGACGACAGTGGACTGGGAAGAGCACAACCCGTATCTGTGGCAGCGGTGGCTGTGGTTTGTGATGAGTAAATGTGAAATAGTTGTATTAAATCTGAACTCGAAGCTGTGCCTTCAACATGTGGATGAGTTGAAATCTAAATATTTCTGTGTTACTGTAATCGTTGGAGTTGATACATGCAAATTGCCTGAAGCACCCATTGAGAGTCTGAGTAGATCCCTTTGCTTTCTTTCTAACTTGAGGTAGTTGGCATTTTCCTTTAAGTAAATTATTTGGATTGTTTTGAAAGTGGTTTTATTCAGTGTGAGGATTTGGGGAAAACACATAAAACCATGAAGATGTCTCTCACAGGCACCTGCGTTTAATATCTGTGCACACGTCTTTCTGTCCTCGTATACATGTGTGAGTGCGGTGCCGTTTCCCTCTCTGGGTGCGGCCGTGCGCCTCTGCACGTGTGTGAGTGCGGTGCGTTTTCCTCTCTGGGTGGGGCCGTGCGCCTCTGCACGTGTGTGAGTGCGGTGCGTTTTCCTCTCTGGGTGGGGCCGTGCGCCTCTGCACGGGTGTGAGTGCGGTGCGTTTTCCTCTCTGGGTGGGGCCGTGCGCCTCTGCACGTGTGTGAGTGCGGTACATTTCCCCCTCTCTTCGTGGGGCCGTGCGTCTTTGCTGCTTCCCTGGGATCATGGCTGCAGCTGGCGCTTCACCGGCTGCTCTTGTGTAGACCAGGACGCGCTTGTGGTTGGTTCCCCCACTCTGCTTTTGTGCATGGGCAGGTCCTGTTAAGTCTGTTTCACAAGTGGCTTCCTTTTTTCCTATTGACATCCAGGCTGCCGTTATTCCCACCCAAACTTGTACAGCGGCTTCCTCTCTGCCCTCAGCCTTTTTCCAGGAAGGCAGAAGCAGCCATCCATGCTCAGTGCAGAACCCACGCTCTCAGTCCTGTGCCTGAGGCCACCTTTCCTGTGGGGGGCGTGTTGAGTCTGTCACTGCCACTCTTGGTAGATTTGGGCCTCCTTTCCAGTCTGTCAGATTTTACTTGGTTTACGTTTTAGCGCTCTGAATTGCATTGTTAGTAGAGTCACTCTTTTCGTTATGATATTTTCCTCTTTACCTTTAGTGGTGGTTCTTACTTTAAAGTTTATTCAGTATTTTTCTTTTTTTTTCTTTTATGAGACAGAGTCTCACCTTGTCACCCATGCTGGATGTGATCTGGCTCGCTGCAGCCTCCACCTCCCAGGTTGAAGTGAGTCTCCTGCCTCAGCCTTCCAAGTAGCTGGGATTATGGCCACATACCACCACACCCAGCTAACTTTTTGTATTCTTAGTAGAGATGGGGTTTCACCATATTGGCCAGGCTGGTCTCCGACTACTGACCTTGTGATCCGCCCGCCTCGGCCTCCCAAGGTGCTGGAATTACAGGGGTGAGCCACCATGCTGGCCTATTCAATATTTATGTAGCATTTGAAACTTCCTTTTGGTTAGTATATACATGATGTAGCTTTTTCTGTGTCCTTTAATTTCAACTCTTCTGTGTCTTTATATTCAGTGTGAATACCTTATGATTTGCAGTTTTTAAAAAGAATTGTTAGTCTAAATATTTGGAATACTTTTCTGTTTACATTTAATGCAATTACTGATGTATTTGTAAATAGCCTATCTTACTATGTAGTATTTTTCCTACCTATGTTTCCTATGTTTTGATTTTTTTTCTTTCTTGCCTTTTTTTTTTGGATTAAGTTTTTTCTTCATTCCATTTACCCCACCTATTTGCCTACTAGTTATCCTTACAATAGCTCTTTGTGACGAGACCGATAATTAAAATATTTATCTTTGGTTTTATGATGTTGAAGATCAATTAGTTTTCCAGTTCCAGAGCAGAGTTCCCCACGTCCATGTGCTGCCTGATCTCGGTCTCAGTCCCCCCGGGATGCTGCCCCCACCACAGGCGTTTGCAGCTGTTCGGAGCCGAGCTTCAAAGCTCTGCCCGTGTGTTTGCCCCGTGGCTGCCCACCCCTCCCGGGTGCTGCGCTGGCACGTTACATGTCCTTGGCCTTCTGCATGAAGAATTTTTGCTAATAATAAATTCTCACACTTACTCTTTAAAATGGCCTTTATTCGATCATTTTTTTTTTTAAGTTTTGAATGTTCCAAACTAAAAAAACAAAAAAAAAAAGAAAGAAAAGGGAAAACAAGTTTTCCTGAACCGTTTAAGGGTTTAAGGTAAGTCATTGGCATGGTGCTGTGTTACCTTCCAGCACTTGAGTGTAAGGGGCTGCAGAGTGTGGTTGCTACTCAGTACCCTGTGGGCTGCTGCTGGGAATGCAGGTTCTTGGGCTTCAGTCCAGGTCTGCTGGATTAGACACTCGGGATGGGGCCCAGAAACGTGTGCGAGTGAGTGCTCCTGCAGTGCACAGTGCCCGTTTGAGAATCATGGCTGGGATGTGTAATTCTCAGAGAGAGGGACGTTCTCCTCCACAACCCGCTACAGCTGTCACAGTCAGCAAGCGGCCTGCCCTCCAGTCCACAGGCCTGTTCGCGGGCAGTCGCGGATCCCAGCCATGTTCTTCGGGCAAGAACATCCAATCCAGGGCGACGGCTGCATTAAATTGTTGCGTCTCTTACGTCTCTGTGGGTCTGGATCCGTTCCTCAGGCTTTTCTTGGCGTTTAAGACCTTGACATTTTTGCAGATGACAGAATGGTTACCTTGCTGAATATCCCTCAGTTTGGTTTTGTTGGATTTCCCCCCATGGTTAGATTGAGGCTGTGTGGCTTTTCCCCAGAACTCACTGATCAGATCCAGTAGCGTGCGGTTCCCGTTTGTCCCATCACTGCTTACGTTACCTTTTATTACTTGTTAAGGTGGTGTCTTCACTATGAAGTTATCTTTTACTCTTAATAGTCAATATTTTGAGGGGAAATACTTGAGAGTATGTAAGTATCAGCTTCCTCATCAAACTTTCACTCAGTAGTTTTAGCATCTTTTGATTTTCTTGGCTAAATTACTGCTATGATGACTGCCAAATTACAGTTTTCGGTTTCTGTCATCCTTTCTATATGACCAGTTAGTATCCTACTAGAAGCAAATATTTTCCCTTCTCCCAAGTTATTTATTCATTGATTTCTGTTTATCACCATGGACTCCCAGATTCTTGTTCATTTATATACATCTATTTTTGTTTCTGTGTTTCCGTGTGTTGAAACCATGAATACACACCAGTGTCTCCAGTTCCAGTGCAACACAGCAAGGTTCGTTGGAGTGCTCTCCGTGTCCGTGTCCTTCTCAGATGCTGGGAGACCTGACCCCGTGATGTCGGCATCTTTACCTGCCGGAATCCCAGAGGGCATAACTAGTCTCCCGTCTTTGCTACCATGGCGTCGCTAATCCCTGCCACCCAGGAAGGCGTAGACATGATCCAGCCCTGCAGAGCAGCCTTCCGTTTGAACTTAGAGGGAAGGAAGGCTGTCTTCATTCCTGCAGGTGGTTTTTGCTGGGTTAGAATTTTAAATTGTCAATACTGTCTTTTAGTACCTCCAAACTTCACTATTTTATTCTTCTGGCTTTTGTGTTTCTATTGAGAGTTCCTCTTTTGAAGATATTTCTTATTTCTCCGGCAGGTTTTTTAAAAGACATTGTTTCTCTCTTGGTTTTGTGCATTTACACTGTATCCGGTGTGTGTTGTGTAAGCAGGTGTGCCTGTGCGTCTGCACTCACTTGCTCTGGGGTTCATAACACTCTGAGCCTTTGGCTGGTGTTCACTGTCTGTGTCACTTTTTTTTTTTTTTTTTTTTTGAGACAGAGTCTCACTCTGTCACCCAGGCTGGAGTCCAGTGGTGTGATCTCGGCTGATTGCAACCTCCGCCTCCCAGGTTCAAATGATTCTTCTGCCTCAGCCTCCTCAGTAGCTGGGATTACAGACGTGTGCCACCACACCCAGCTAATTTTTTTGTATTTTTTGTAGAGTTGGGGTTTCACCGTGTTGTCCAGGCTGGTCTCAAACTCCTGACCTCAGGTGATCTGCCGACCTTGGCCTCCCACAGTGTGTCTGTGTCACTCTTGCCGCATTTTCTCTCTGTTCTTGTGGTTCTACTCTGTCATCTGTTGGACCTTTTCACACGTGCTGTGTTTTATGTGGTTTTGTCTGCTTTTCAGTTTGTAAGCATTAAAGAGAATCTAAGAGAATCCATGGTATTGGGCTTGTGGTTTGAATTAAATGTTTAGAAAAGTTAAAATTTCTAATCATATTTAAATGACTGGAGAAATCTGATTTTTAAATTTGTAAACATTTAAAAACATGAACTTGAATTTTTAGGACAGTGTTAGCTTTACAGAAAAATTGTGAAGGTGATAATGAGCTCTCATATCTCACATCCAGTTTCCATTGTATTAACATCTTCTGTTAGTATGGTACATATGTTATAATTAATTAATACTACTTAATGGGTTTTTGGTTTTGTTTTTTTTGGAAACTGAGTCTT